ATAAGAATAAGAATAGAGAAAGCCCGCAGTGCCTTTAACAACATGAAACAAATGTTGTGTAGCCAAAACCTAAGCCTAAAGCTGAAAATACGAATGCTTAAATGTTATGTTTTCTCGGTCCTGTTATATGGGGTGGAGGCGTAGACACTAAATAAGCAATATATGTGTAAGCTGGAGGCATTTGAGATGTGGGCGTAACGAAGAATGTTAAGAATCTCCTGGAAGGATAAGATAACTAACCAAGTTGTATTAGACAGGATGAACAAACAAAAGGAGGTCGTATTGAGTGTTAAAATGAGGAAACTACAATACCTGGGACATATTACACGTGGGAATAAATATCAACTATTACAACTAATTATGCAAGGAAAGATTAAAGGTAGGCGCAGCATAGGTAGGAGAAGAATGTCATGGTTGAGAAACCTCAGGGAGTGGTTTGCTTGCACTTCCATACAATTGTTCCTAGTGGCAGCCTCCAGGGTCAAAATTGCCATGATGATAGCCAACCTTCGTAGCGGAGATGGCACGTGAAGAAGAAGAAGAAGATGTAAATCGAACATTTTGCTGTGGTGAACTACCGCATTTATTATATTTTGTAGTTCTTGTGCGTTGCTTGCTATTAGGACAGTATCATCAGTATATCTGATGTTGTTTATGCTGATTCCGTTAATCTTAATTCTAGTCTTAAGTCTAATGCTTCTCTTAATATAGACTTCGAATACAAGTTAAACAGTAGCGGTGATAAGACGCAACCCTGTCTCACTCCTCGTCGGATTTGTGTATCTTCGGATGTTGTGTACTCTATTTCAATTGTTGCCGTTTGGTGCCAGTATAGTTCTGAGATAATTCGCAAGTCTTGTTCGTCAACTCCAGTTGTTCTCAGAATTTCGATCATCTTTTCTTTAAATAATAGCATTGCTATCGTAACCCTCCGTTAGTCGCTAGGAAAAACTGAGCATCAAGAGTCGCTACGGTATCTGAGACCGACAATTAAAAAAAATAGTTATTGCTAATGAATTCATACAAATATTTTATATTGTGCATAGGAATGACTGAATTTTCTTTTACAATTTTCTACTGATCAGCGCGATTTTGTGGACTTTTTTATATTTCCCTTTTGGATTGAAATGGAACATCACAATACACTACAAAAAGAGAAACAAACACTTTAATTTTTGAAGATAGGCGAAGCTACATGGTGTATAGAAGCCGGAGACAGAATGGCTCACGGTCTAGCGGAAATGTTGAGGTGACAAATGACAGCTTAGAAGTGCAGTTACAATCATAGATATGTGATCTGCACCTTTCAAAATTCTATGGAACTAAGTATTGACCAAAGGTCCAACTGACACCACTATAGGAAATCAACTAATGAAATATAAAATTATATAGAATATTGTTTAAGTAGATTGCGATTAAGAAATAGACTAAACAATATATTAGACAGTGGATGGTTGACTACAATAAAATGGTCTACCATGCACTATCAGTACTGTAGAAAAGAAGAAATCTGAATATGCAATTTAATTACTAAAAATTAAAATCAAAATTGAAAGCAAAATATATAAATGGGTTATAATCCAAGTAGTTCAGTTGGATCAGGGGGGGTTAACTTGAATAGTCTTGTCAACGACAACGTTTTTAGTAATATATTCTAGCACAGATGTCACACCAGGTAATGATTGATGGTGACCTGTAATTTTTAAAAAAGACAAACAGTGTCATCTGTCATCCGCATGTCATCCAACGGATTGTTGAATATTCAAATCTCGTTTTTATTGTGATAAATGTGATTCTTGTCTTATAATCTGTGTTGTGATCCAAATCCAAAGACGATATAATATATGTGTCATCCTATGCAAATATAAATGTATGTATAATTCTTCTTCAATAACCTATGTATATTCTTTTCAATAATGATATTGTGTATGTTAATAATGAGTCAGATAAATTTTGATATTTTCACGTTTGTATTACTATAGTTAAAATTGTTATTTTTCTTTGGACATTGTTATTTGTATTTTATGTTTTTATATCTCCACCACCACCATAAATAAAACACTTGTACTATATAGAACATTTTTATTTTTTTCCTAGCTTGAGTGAGATTCAACCTTATTCTATCTTTCTTCTGTCATATGAACTATGAACTTCACATTTGCCAAATAGAATTTTTATAATTTATTTACTCATTGTTAAAATTATGTTATGCAAATGTGTGAAATGAATTACAGCAATAATGGTTTGTTTTATAACCATTAAATTTTAATTCCTATAATTTAATAGGACTTGTTCAAGATGGTGGTAAAAATAAAATTCTTTGCATCCGAACATTTCGGTTTATTTCATTTCTAAACAATTTTTAACGAATTTAACTTCAAACACGACCAACACACTTGTATTGTTAAAAATGTGATAGATTGAAACGTTCAGACGGATATATTTTTATTTTTACAATTTATCTTGACAGTGTCCCTTTAAATTATAGAGAATTCCTACATACAAGAATTTTGAATTTCCCGCGTCATATAAATTTGAATTTCCCGCTTCTCATTAACAGTTTTCTGTCTTCTTTTTTTTGGCCTTCGTTAAGGTAAGTTACAAAGTTATTAACATTTCGTGTAGAATTCTACCGTAGAGGGCGCTGTAAATCGTATCGGCAATTTTTAACATTAAGGTTGGCGATCTTCTTGTCTTATAATCTGTGAGTTGGATCTACAGTCAATGTGTCAATTTATAGTTCTTCCATTGACTGTGGATCCAACTGAACTACTTGGATTATAACCCATTTATATTACCGATACCGACCATTTATCATTTTTATTTAGTACAAACATGATAACCTTTGCTTTATGTTGAGAAATAATTAAGTACATTTTTACATAACAAAATTTATTAAAAATCTAATGAACATTTAACGATTGATTTATTCGGTCAATCAAAAAAATTTCATTTAATTCAGGAAAAATTATTGATATTTTTATACGCATTAAATTTTCAATTTCCAGCTAGCCAAATATTATGTAAAATTTAAAACGAAACTTTTATCTTGTAAAATTTTTTTTAGGACCAATATCTTTCGAGTTGTAGCCGATAATATGGGCGCAAAAATAAAAAATTTCTGATTTTTTTTTTCAGATGTTGATAAATAAAAAATTTAGCACAAGGTTTTGGAATGGCGCATATTGTGATTATTGACACAAGGTACATCTTAAAGTGATTCTAACAAACAATAGATTCCTATGGAAAATTTCCATTATTGTCTGCCTATATATTATTAATTAAGCCATTATCAGGTACAAAGGGTATAGAATACTAGTTACAGACTTAAATGTTATTGAACGTGCTCATCAGAAATGTGGTCATAGTGATAGAGATCTTACAGCTTAATCCTTGAATAAAAAGTCACAAAAGAGTATGTAAAAAATTCCATGGATTTATGTGAAACGTGTTACAAGATAAATAGAATGGAGTGTGACTGGTCAAACATCAATTTCATAAAATTAAGCTTTGACATTTTTCTGACCAAATTAGTCTCTCCTAGGTTTGACGAAAATTATTTAGGCAAAGACCTAAAAACGTCATTTATTTGGACTATGACTTTGACTTTAAGTCAGACCTGAGCATTGACTATTGAAACCTAGAAGAACTGGAGCTTCAACGTTTGATAACTGTAACATATTTACATATATATATATATATATATATATATATATATATATATATATATATATATATATATATATACTTGTATACATATATGTATATATACATGTATGTATGTACTAACATACTTCAAATCTATGCCCCGACTGCAGATAGAAAATATGAATGAAGTCGAGAAATTATATGATCAGATCCAAGACATCGTACAGAAACTTAATAAACACGAAATTTTATATATTATAAGCGACTTTAATGCAAAAATTGGGGAAGTCGACAAGATCAGACTGTAGGTCCTTATGATTTAGGACAACCTAACGATCGAGGACAGAGATTGTATGAATTTTGTAAAGAAAACGATATGATCATTGCAAACACCTGCTATAAACTACCCATGCGACGACTATACACTTGTAAAGCCCCTTTTGATGATGGCTATAAGCCTTAGTCTTTAAGAAATCAAATAGACTATATACTTGTAAATGAAATGCCGTCAAAAAAGTCACTACATATCCTGGGGCAGATATTGGATCTGATCATCAACCACGTGTAGAAGATATTAAATTAAGGTTAAAACGAATTCAGCGGCAAAAACCAAAAACCAATGAACTTAACTTTGACGATATAAACATAAAACATAACATTAAAAAAGAATTTAACAATAGAATATAAAATATCGGAGAACAACTAGAAGATCCAGAAGAACTATGGGGTAAATTTAAAAACCAAGTTAACGAAATCTCCACAAACAATGATTATAGAACAAACCTTAATCAAGAAAAATAAATAGATGACAGACGACATCTTGAAAAAAATGGAACAACGTCGACTGATAAATTCTAATGTAACAGAAGATAGACACCTGTAGAGAAGAATAAAAAAGGAGATCAAATTAGCCAAAGAAAAATGGATGAGAGAAAGGTGCGACGAAATGGAAGACGTAATATCTAAACACGACTTATTTAATGTGCACAAAAAACTAAAAGAAATGAGTAACGTATTCAAAAAACGAGTTCCCTCTGTACTCGTTGACAATAATAACAAAATTATTGTAAATGAGAACGAAATAAGAAAAGAATGGCAGCTGTATATATCAGAGTTAAAAGAAATAAGTAAGAAAACGAACAAATAGTGGAAAAGATAAAACCAGACTAGAGATTATTTAAATAAGTACAGAAAAGTTTAATAATTCAAATTTAACGATTTTCAGAGATAAAATGTTAATGTCTATTTATTATATAATCAGATATTTTTAAAATATATTAGTTATACAAGTTAAACTTATTAAAAATATTTCAAAAAGAACAACGTTTGATAGAAAATGGAAAAACACTCACCTTTGAACAAATCCAACATTTTCTTTCCATTATTTCCCTCAACCGGCTGAATTTTGTACGGAAAAAGCTTAACCTTACTCCCGCTTGCATTCTTATTGTTGGTATTAGCTACACTGTCGTCATACATCGGTGTGGGAGCCATATTTCGCGCCAGCAAGAAAACTTGATAAGATAAATTTCAACAATTTACTGTCCACTGTTTGCCGACTTATGACAACTCGTTGAATCTATTCGTTGCGCATTTACAATTTACTTTACTTATCACATATCACACGTTTACTTATCATAAACATCATATTCTAGAAGTTTAAGTGGTTAAAAATATTTAAAACAAATGACGGTATTATATTTCGATTTGATACAGAGCAGCAACAAGCCGCATATACGTATTTCGATCTCTTTAGATCTCCTCAGTACGGTATAGTTACTACTCCATATCAAACCAAAATATTTTCCCGTCGTAGATTATAGTTATTAAAAATAACTATTTACGGACGTAACTACGCCATCTAAGAACAAAAAGAGAAATCGTACGATTTCTACCTGGCGAAATCGAATTCAAATATAAGCCGCCGTGCCCCCTAAGACTTGCGAAGCAAACAGCTTGATGAATGCATCGGCAAGGGAGTCTAATAATTGCACTCCAAATGCCGTTCATCATGGCCTATATTCGTAGTGAATTCGATTTCTGGTACTCCAAATGAAGTAAATAAACAAAACAAATGACGGTATTATATTTTGATTTGATACAGAGCAGCAAGCCGCATATACGTATTTCGATCTCTTTAGATCTCCTCAGTACGGTATAGTTACTACTCCATATCAAACCAACATATTTTCCCGTCGTAGAATATAGTTATTAAAAATAACTATTTACGGACGTAACTACGCCATCTAAGAACAAAAAGAGAAATCATACGATTTCTACCTGGCGAAATCGAATTCAAATATAAGCCGCCGTGCCCCCTAAGACTTGCGAAGCAAACAGCTTGATCAATGCATCGGCAAGGGAGTCTAAAAATTGCACTCCAAATGCCGTTCATCATGGCCTATATTCGTAGTATATTCGTCCATTGGGAAAATACGAAACAGCAAATGTAAATAAGAACGTAACAACAAATAAAGAGCACTATAATCTACAAAGTCTAGAAGATAACAACGTGCAGTATTTATACCAAAGAAGGTTAGATGGAAAACTGGTAATAGAAAATAGAACAATAAAAGAAGAATACAAGCACATAGTACACAGTACTAAAGAAGCAGCAAAAGAGGCAATAGGCACTCAATGACGCGCAAAACAAAAACCATATTTGTGGGATGAGGGAATAGATGAAATGATGAAGAAGAAAAAAGAAGCATACCTAACATAACTAGATAAAAAAGACGACCCCTCTAAAGAAATATATAAAAACCTAAATAAACTGGTGAAGACGGAAGTAACAAAAAGGAAAAATAGATCTTGGGAAAAGAAATGCGAATACATAGAACAAATGATTGGAGGATCGAAAAGTTCAGAATCCTGGAGAACGCTAAAATCTATGAAAACGTCAACCAACAATAAATTAGATTTAAGTAACATAACAGAAAAAGACTGGGTAGACTACTTTAAACAGTTACTACAAGAAGGACGACAAAATTTTCAATACGAAAATGCAAACAGAGACATACGATCAGAATTCATTGAATTGAATATGCCAAATATCGTAGAAGCGATAAGATCTTTTAAACTTAAAGAAGCGCCAGGCCCAGGAAACATCTCACCAGAATTTATTAAATACGGCTCAGCTAAACTGTGGGAAATGCTCAAAGATCTGTTAAAACGATGCCTGAATGGAGAAGAGACCCCGTTAGAATGGCGTAAGGCCTATATAACCCCAATATACAAAAAAGGAGCACGAAACAATGTCAGAAATTATAGAGGAATTGCTGTCATCCCTACTATAGGACGACTGTACTCCCGAATACTTAGAAACCTCATAGAAGAAGACATTCGTATGAAACAACCAGAAGAACAATGCGGATTCAGAGCTGGAAAATAGACTATAGATAATCTATTTACACTTAAAATATTAATCGAAAAGCGACAACAAAGAAACAAAGAAACACATATAGCCCTGATAGATCTTGAAAAGGCATATGATAACGTGCCGATAAATACTTTATGGAGTGAAATGCAAAACATGGAAATAAAACCTTCGTTAATAATAGCAACTCAAAAGTGGTATGTAAACAACACCGCATCAATTAAAATAGGTGGCAAACTTAGTGAGAAATTCAACACTACGAAAGGGCTACGACAGGGATGTTGTTTATCACCTACGCTGTTTAAAATATATCTAGATCGAACTCTACAAAAGTGGCAAAGACAATGCAGAAATATGGGAATACAAATAGATGAGGATATTCTCTATACACTATTCTTCGCTGATGACCAACTGGTGGTAGCAGAAGATATAGACGACCTCAGCTATATGGTTAGGAAACTACAAACAGCGTACGAAGAATGTGGACTGACAATGAACTTACAAAAATTCGAATATCTCTCAGTGGGGAAAAATAGTGTCTGTCAGGTCGAAGACCTGACATTGGAGAGTGACAAAATCAAAGGAACAAATAGAGTTAAATACCTAGGAGTAGTGTTTACAAAAGACGGAAATAGCCATGAAGAAATAAATACAAGAATAAACAAAGGCAGAAACATTACCAAATGCCTAAACTCCATTCTCTGGGATAAAAAAAATCACAAGAACGACGAAAAAAACGAATATATAAGACGATGGTTGAGCCGGTGGTAACATACGGAGCAGAGATATGGGACACTAGTAAAAGAAACAGGAAAAAATTACAAGCTACCGAGATGGATTTTATGAGAAGAAGCTGTAGATTGACAAGGATGGACAAAATTCGCAATGAAGAAATAAAACGTAGAATGGAGCAAGAAAAAGACATTATAGATGAAGTCCAGAAAAAACAACTAACTTGGTCATGTAAACAGAATGGCAGACGAGAGGTGGCCAAAGAAAATATTAAAATGGATCCCAACCGAAAGAAGGAAAAGAGGGCGTCCAAGAAGAAGCTGGCGAGATGACGTGAATGAAGCCATGGAAGGAAGACAAGTCCACATTGTTTTGATGCATAATCAAGTGGCATTCGTAAAGACACCGTAAAGAAAAGGAACAAAGAAAGAACACCCTACTGGTGGACGGATGAGATTGAAGGCCTACGGGAGGAGTATCTCCGAGTTCGCAGGAATTTTACGACAAGCCAGGGCACCTACGACCTCAAAGAAGTATACAAAACAGTAAAAAAGAAACTCAATGAAACAATAAAAAAAGAAAAAAAAAAGAAAGGTGGCAGAACCTAATAAATGCTTTAGAAGACGACATATGGTACGACGCATATAAGATAACAATGAAGTCACCAAAGATAATTGCTCCAAACCTTCTTGAAGGTCTCCCCTGTGGTGGCGAAGGATTTTACAGAAGAAGAAATAAAGACCGCTGGCCAAGAAATCAAGACGGGGAAAGCTCCCGGCCCCAATGGACTGCCACCGGAGGTACTGAAGATAGCAACAACAGAGAAACCAGGTTTGATCAGAAAAATATATAACGGTCTACTGCGGAAGCAAGAGTTTCATAGGGAACTAAAGGAAGCAAATCTAATTTTACTCCGAAAGCCTGGAAAACCACCCGACTCAGCATCCTCTTATAGACCAATATGATTTATGGACTGCCTTGGCAAGTTCTATGAGAATCTTGTCAGGAAGAGGCTAGAGGGCGTGTTGGCAGATAAGCAAGCTCTATCCAACCAACAATATGGATTCAGAAAAGGTCGATCAGCAGTCCACGCCGCGATCTGGATAGGAAACGCGGTAAAAACAAGCAAAAAGAAATGGGTGGTACTTGTTTGTACACTTGTACTTTGTACAACGGGGTATTAGAAGTAAACAAAACACAAGGAGTAAGGGCTATTGCATACGCAGATGACCTAGCCCTACTTATAGAAGATATAAATTGATGTATTATAAACAAAGTAAATGAAGCAATAGAAAAAACTGCAAGAGAAGAGGATAGAGTGAAATGACCTAAACATTGCAGTAGAAAAGACAGAGGTAATTATCTTGAGGGGACCACGGGATAAAAAAAAACGTAAATTTTCGGTTCAGAGGCTCCGACCTAAAACCCTAGAGGACCGTAAAATACTTGGGAATCATACTAGACGACAAAATGGCATTCAGACACCACATAAAAGAAGCATGTCGGAAGGCGGAAGCGAGGACCTCGACCCTTAATAAGAAAATGCCGAATATAGGAGGCCCCGGGTCACACAAAAGATCAGTTATACTACAGTCAATCATGTCGATCTTACTGTATGGGGCTCCAGTGTGGCATGAGATCATCAACAAACAAAATATAAAGACATGCTTCTTAGGACACAGAGGAAACCATTGATCAGGGTATGCAGCGCGTACAGGACCGTATCAGCCATTGCTTTTCAAGTAGTGACCGGTGCTGTACCGGTGCATATCCTGGCTAATGAAAGGGTTCGGATGCACCAAAGGGGCAATGGAGCTTTAGGTTCAGGAACACAAGAGAGAAAAAAGGGGTTCGAAGATCTGGCAGGACCAATGGTCAAGGGAAACAGACAAGGCTGCCTGGACGAGGGCCCTTATCCCAGATGTAGTAAGGTGGTATGAGTGTAAACACAGACGTGTTAACTACTACTTCACCCAATTTATGACGGGATATGGATCTTTCCGGTCTTATACATATAGAATAAAGAAGACTCAGGACGATCTCTGTCCCGAGTGTAGAGTGGTGGATGACGCGCATCATGTGGTATTCGTATGCCCTGCATACAATGTGGAACGGACCTTGCTGCAGCTGGGCCTGGGGTCACCTCTAGGTGAGCCACATGAACTATATATATATATATATATATATATATATATATATATATATATATATATATATATATAAATATATATATATCGCAAAAAGGAGTACGACCGTCTATCCAATATAAATAAGGATCACTCAGATGAGTGGTGGGTTCAATTATCGGTCAACTAGGTGGAGAAATAAAAGACAAAGTTGATACTACTTCATCTATTTTGAAGACGTTTCGCTATCGAATTCTGATAGCATCATCAGTTCATCTAAAAAATTTTTACATTATGAGTACCACACATTCATGAAGAAGATGTTAAATAGTTACCTTAAAAAAG